ATTCCTGCATTAAGTCCCAAAGAAGTGACTTGGTCCAAGTCTGTCAGGTCTTCCTTGAAGGTAGTGTGTGAGGACAACTCCAAACCACTGTCTGTAGCAGGGCTGACCGCAGATGAAACATTTTCTGAGCTCCCAGAAGAGCTGGGAGAAGGAGTATCTATGGAAGTAACTCCACTTGCTGATGAGAAACAGAAGCAAAAAGATCAATATTATTCTGTCTCTCAACCACAAATTCATATATTGAATACAGCAACAAAGAATTACTTTGATCACTGCTTCACACTACAAATTATCTCAGATAGTTAAGCATTAATGTAGAGAACACAGATAAACTAAGCTCTCTTTTGCTAGGTATTAATGAATTAAATAGATGAACAGGTGAGATACTAGCAGTTCTCCAAATTAAAATGCAATAGCTGGAATCTAACAGACTCAGTAAATAAGGTCATTCACACAGTTAGATAAAGGGTGCAGAAGGTTTCCATAATTAAGAACGAATCCAAAAATAGTCCAAAAGTTGTACTTTACTCTTTGATACACATCACAACCACTTTAAAGACTTGCATCAAGAACTAGTCATTCCTTCAAAGTGAGAATTTTAACTTGATTGGAAGGCAAGATCTATTTCTTTAATTCTCCTTAAACAAATGGAATTGCAATAGAATTCAAACGGGTCTGAAATGCAGCAGTGAAGGATTTTTATTATTTCTAAATATGAGACCATGCTCAAAGAATCTAAGTTTTCCTTTAGAAGAAACCCATATATTTGCAGCTCTCATGGTTCTGAGGAGAACTGAAAAAAGGTAAACCAAATATTTAAAAAAAAGAGAAGATACACTGCAGGGCACATTAATAAAGGCACAAACCAGAGTTACATTATGAATTTACATGTGAAATGTGTATGGTTTTGCACAGTGGTCTTTTATTGCTGACTTGTTTTTTGGAAATGCCTTAAGTAGCAAGACGTTACTTGTTTTTTAAAAAATGTAACAGAATACATGATCAATTTACATAAATCATCTTCACCCGCTAAGCCACAATTCTGGCCTAAAAAGCACCATTAATTCATTACCTAGCACTACAAGGTCAGAGTTAATAACACGCTTTGTAACACAATTCAGTGTTCTCTCTAAAATGTAACAGGAGTTATAATGCTGTTTAACAGAATTAACACCTATTTGAGAAGTTAAATATAATGACGATTTATGTAGAGACGATTTCTCATCTGGATGGATGTTCTAAGTTATATGCAATTTGATCTCAGATTATTTGCTTAGTTTTCACCAACCATACTGTTGTGTAGAAACACGCTTGGGATTATTCACACTACGCTGAATAGTCTCCTGTCACAGAGTAAGTGTCAGAACTAGGTACTTAACACAGCTATTGTTTCTGTTTTTCTGTCTGCTTCCTTTCACTGTTAATGTTTACATCTGAGCTGTCAAAATGTAGAGTGCACAAACGACAGAGTACTTTGCAGCCAGGGGGACTCATTTATCCAGAGGAGAGGATAAAAACAGTTACAACACTTCAGTTTACTCCCATGCAACAGTATGACATGGAAACCCCCAACACTATATTCTTGAGCTCACAGCACTAGCCACATACTGTATTCCTTCTGCAGGCTGAGTCAAAGCACATGAAAAAGGATTAATGCATGCATACTCATTAGTTGCCTGCACATAATCTCCTTTTGGGTACTTTTGCTGTTCCCTCAGCTTTTTTCCCTACATAACTTCTCGTGCCTTCTTACCATATCAAGGCCTCTATTCTTCCTATAGCAGCTGTAAGTGCACCCTTTATTTCTCTATCCCTTAATCAGTGTAGCCTTTTATTCAAATTTCCTGGACTGTAGGTACACACTTTCAGTCTTTACATCTGTAGTCTTCACATCTGTAGTGAGAGATCTGTTCGTTCACCCATCCTTGATATCTAGATTTCTGCACGTCCCTCGGTTCTACTTGTGTATTTTCCCCAGATACACTTTGCTCTTCCCTCATTATCACCACACCCACACCCTTTGGAACACTCCTCAGGAACACAGGGAAGAATATGTCATTTGAGTCAGCAATTTCCTGTTGCAGGAAACCACCTCCCCAGCTCCACTACCCTTAGCTCTCCTCTTGCCAGTGTTCCTGTTCTCAATCTCTTTCATGTACCTACTGCATCCTCCAACTCCTCTGTACCATGTGGCTGCCCATAACCTCAGCCACCTCTCCAGGTCCCCATTGCCTTTCGTATAAACTATCCCTGTAAGGCACTCTGAAGGCAGAGAAATGCTGTCAAGCTAGCTACAGGACCATGCTGTCCTCCATCAATATGTATCCCATCTCCTTCAAACTCTTTCTCCTGGACCTGAAAAGCTATGGTATGTTCTATCAAAAAAACAAAAACAAAAACAAAAACAAAAAAACCCCCACCAAAATCTAATGCAAAACATGTTAAGAGAAATGAAATAAAGACAGATCCCAAAACAAAAATCTCTAGAACAGATGCTGTCTGGTCTATGGAAACAGATTTCAACCCACCTGTAGTGTTACTAGCATTGGCTGCTGGTTGTTCTGTCCCAGGAGAGACCCTAGTTACATGGCGAGGCGGCCTTGGTGATCTCTTCTGCTTTTTCCATTTTGATGATTCACTCATTCCTCCAGCTCTCATTTTCAACTGAAAACCAATAATCATTAAGAGTATCAGTACAGCAAAACCACATAGCACAATGGATGACACAAGCCAATCCAGAAAGGCTGTCTCAAACCCCTCAAAGTCAGGCAACAGCACTTAAACATATCACACCAATTAATCAGCACCTCAAAACCATGCAAACCAGCCCCTCACTCCCCACATATTAGCCAACACTCCATGCCTGAATCAAGGGACAATTTACTGCAGTTACTCTGCTATAACATATACTTAACAGTTCAATTATCACAGCCCTCCCTCTTCTCTATCAATACCTGCTAGCTTTGCATTAGGATAAAGAATTCTTAGACCTACAGGCACATATCAAATCTCTTTGCTTTTGCCAATGTTTCCAGACTTCTAAAGGGAATCAATTAAAGTATATAAGCAAGTACTAGTTATGTTTGATGTTCAATTAGAATTTCACCATCTACACATGAAGGCTGAGCATCCAGCCCTATGCTGCAGCCTGCAGCTCTGTCACTCACCCCTTGCCTCAATTCACTCTTCATCTTCATAGCAATGTAATGTTTACTTTCCTCCAGGTATCTTTCACTATTAATGAATGTTTCTCTAAAACCTCACTCACTCCTGGTGCACATTGCAAATACCACCCTAGTGGTTTAGAAACAAACCGTACTCTGCTTTCACCTGACTCCTGTCATTACTTCTCTTCAGATCTAAATCTAACCTAACCCTTGACATCCTTCTCGACCAGGATCCTAATTCTAGATCTTATACACATCTTTGATCAGGCAAGCAAGAACGACAGCAGGAGCAATGCAGACTGTGCGGCACTTGCTGCACTGTGCTGTTATTGCAGGCACACATGGATGCTTCAGAACTTCCTCAAAACAATACGATAGTCACATGGACAACGGCAGGCCTGAAAACAGCTTCCTTCTAAAGTAAGTTCCTCTAAGTCTAGGACTGCACTTACTCTTGGGTTTGGTAGCAGCAGTCAGCTTTTCTGATGCTGTCAGACCTCTTCAATTTGGGGTGAAAATTTAACCACTGAGCAGGTACCTTGCATGCAGAGGAAACCATTCAGCAAGTCTCAGTACCAGCCCCTACTAGGTATTCTTTTTGTAAATTTATCACAGTTAAGTTATATTTTAGGCTATAGTACTCCTTATTTCTTATAAGCCTAGCATCAGGCTTAAATTCTCCAGAAGACAGCTATATTCTTTAGTCTTTTCCTTTTTCTTCAACTTGCCTACTTCCAGCTACTACTCTTCTTAAATGCCAATAAACTTTCCAGGTTCTGCTACTGTTTTTCTGTTTCTTTCCCAGCTAGAATTCTAACTCTGTACATTTTTCTCATTTAAACACAGCTTCTGAAAATGTTATGTCCCAGTGCAGTAAACCATTCATGAAACTTCTTTGCACCACAAATTTTATTTGTTTGACAAGACAACTAATCCTCAAGTTTTAGCTACGCTACAGTTTCCTTGAGCTTGTTAATTTACATGATTCAGAATTACTTTGCTCACTATTTCTTCTAAATTTTGCAGCAAGAATCTCCTTCTAAATCACAGCTTCTAACAAACACTTATGTGACAAACACACAGCTAAAAATAAAATTTTGTAGATTTCAAAATGGTTTAAAATGCTTATGGATCATAATACTTTCATGTAAAAATTGTCAGCTCGCTCATCTTTCAATTGACTACTTCATAGGATTATATAAAATGTGTTGTCTTTCATTCTTGCCAGTTCCTAATGTTTCACCTCTGTTAGTTTCCCTTTCCATTTAAAAATATCTCTGAGCCTTAAATATTACCAATAAGTTTTATTCATTAAAGGCTTAAGCTACTAATTAGACCATGTAGTTTTACTTTACTTACCAACTATTCTAGAAGTAATCATATTTATTTTTTTCCCTTTTCAATAACTTATAAAATAAATCTGAAGACTTACGGTTCATTGTACCAAACTACTTCAAGTAGGAAGGAAACCTGGAAGCATTATGTGTCAAACTCAAGAAAGTTTGTTTCACATAATTTCAAAATAACAGTATATCATGTTGCCATGACTCGCCAGGTAAAAAGTTACTTGCTAATAAAAACTGGGGTGTGTGCACAGCAGGGTGCAGAATTGAATTAGCAAAATGGAGCCAAGATATTCCTACGAGCTAACCATGTCGGTTCCACTCCTTTTACCCTCAGTCATGCTCCTGAGAAATATATAACTTTTGAACTATCCTACCAGAAAGTTCAAGCTGACAGTTTAATCAGTATTTCTGATCTCCCCTTTCACACAACACCAAATACCATCTCAGTTCAACACCAGCCCTTTCGAAAAAGCACTTCTCAAACATAATACCCATTTTCAGTGATTGTCTTGTGCTTTAAATTAACTCCAAAATTCCTCCTCTTGAGGTGCATAAGACATACGCCCATCTGTCACAACTTTGATGAACCTGTGCCATCGTTCAGAGACTGAGTCACAAGAGCTTCACATGGATGGGAAATCATTTAGCCAGGCAAGCAAAAACACTCAGCTGAATCCCAAACATGTAATCAAAGTACAAAGCATTCAGACAAGAATCTAAGTTTATTTGGTTTTGATTGGTGTTTTGGGGTTGTTGTTTTTTTTGGAGGGGTGGGGGTGGGGTGGGGAGGGAAGAAGGTTGGGGAGGTTTGTTTGGTTTGTTTTTGGGGGTGTTTTTTTGGTCAATTTAACAGACAAATGAGATTACTCAGCAGGTCTTTTCCATCTCATACCATACAGTAGTCCACATTCTACATGAACAAGTATCCTTTTAATAATTTTAATAAAATTACCTACTAGCATTACCTAGGACTACTACCCGTATCATCCCCCATCCCCCGCCCTTTTTTTTTTCTTTCGCTATCTCCTATAAATAAAAGATAGCAAACTACAATGACAATTGCATAGCTTAAAAAAAATGCAAAAGCAAACAGAAATGCTTAATAGAAATACTTCACCAGGGTCAAGGGTCTATATGTTGTTTTGACAAACAAACTCTGAGTTTGGTAATTCTAAAACAATACATGTATCAAAGGACAGCAAAGTAACATCTTTCATTCTGTATTTTGTATTGACTTAAAAGGTAAAAATCCCATGACCTCTTGCTTTTTTTGTTAGTACAAAAATGTACAAAACCAACCTTGTACAGTTTGTCTTTGACTAAAAGAACTATTTCTAATGTGTGTTTTTACCTTCAGTACCGAGGCATTTCCTGATTTTGCTAGAAAGCTTAGTTGCATGTTAATAGGCTGAGATTTTAAACCTAAGGTTGCCTTCTTGACTAAATGCTGCAGGTAAATGGCATTTAATAGATCATTAAAATATCCTGAATTTTAAACATCATCTAAAATTCTCCCTCCCTCTCCAATGCTCAGTGATATTATAGTTGCATTAGTTTCCTAATTGTCACTGTCCTTCAGATTAGATTAAGCTCTACTTCCACAATAAAAAAAAACACCTGAGGTTAGTATTTTAAAAATGTTCTTTAGAAATCAGAGAGGGAGCTCAGAGATATTGTTCATTCATCTTGGAACTCAGTACAGATTCCGCCATATTTATCTGAGTTACCTTTGTGTAAAGAAACATGCATACAAAATTGCAGAAAAAAAAATTACACAACTCCAAATGCTTCCTTTGATAGATGACGTTTTAACAATAAAACTCCAGCTAAGGTCTAGGAAGGTGAAGAAAAATGTAATACTACAAGATTCTTTTTAAAGGGTCCATGAGATCTCATTTTCTACACGCCACCTTACCTGCACTCGTTTGTTTTTCCATAAGATACTGTAAGCCTCAAGAGAAAACGGCAGGGGCCAATGATTAGTAACTAAAGTGATTATACTAAAACATGAGCTCATTCTAGATGCAGCATGGAACTGGTTAGCACACCAAGTAGCGTTCAAGACACAAAAGCATGCAGAGAGAACGCACTCCATGATCCAAGTCCTGGAGACACCAATGCAGTCCAGTCATCTCACTTACCTACCTGCCTGTACTGCAACAACTAATAATATTTATCTGCTGAAACATATTTGTACATCTTAGGCAACGATAAACATAACCCATCCTCAAATTCTGTGAAAACTCAGATTTAGATTCCTCCTGACTCCCACCGCAGAACCCACTGTTTAGCTACACATTTTCTGCTGCAAAAGGAGACATTTCTTAGCCTTTCCTTCTGTGTAACTGCATAAATCTTCAAGTCTCCAGCCACCATCTTATCCAACCTATCCTGACCATAGACACAGGACAAAAGAATGGCAAATGCATCTCTAAATGTTCTGTTCAGCTCCTTTTGGACCAATTAACAGCAGACAAGAACTAAAACTACATTAAGTTTATAAACCAACATGAAAACTGAGAAGGATCCCATCTAAGCTAGTTTCTCAGGATTACTGTGATTGGTCCAAAACTGACAATCTGCAGGCCTACAATATTTCTTTAGAAGGATTTTCTAGGGAAACTAGTAGGGACTAACATATTTCATAATTCAGTTTGGCCCCACTCGTCCCCCATTAGCAAATACTGTGCTGGGAACCATATTTAATTTCAATAGAAACACGGCCAAAGATGTTGAAAATGTACAGCAGCCTCCTTCAAAAAAGCTTTAGAGAGCATTGAACTCTGTGGCCCTGTACCAAGTAATAAAGCTCAGATAGTCACCTTGAGTAAAACTGTTTAAGGCATGCTGAGTCAAGAGATTCCTCAGGTATGCTGCTAGATCTATTAACAAGATCAACAGCTAGGACACACAACACTTGAGCCTTCAGAGAGCAATCTACATTTTTTAGGTTTATTTTCTTCAGTTTTTCGCTGTCAGAGAGGACTCAAATCTTGCCCATGCCCTCCCACTCCCTTCCTTCAGACGATGCTGTGATGGTGTCTTAGGTGGTACTCCCCAAGACAGAATGCTACAGTAAAACAAAGGTCTCTTTCCCCCCCAAGCCTTTTTTTTTGCAGCCACAACACTGCAAAGCAATTGCTGCATGCACTGTCCCCAAAAGCCATGCTGTGTCAAATGAGTGGAGGGAGATTTGCTGCACACAACAGAACTGTCTCTCAGGTGGTGTTTACAAGAGAAGGAAGAAGGGAGTAAGGTAAGAAGGGAGAAGGGAGAGAGAGACCTTCAGGTTCTTAAAAAGCAATACCCTCTCTAATTGTTTCAGTGCTTTGGGCTGTTCCCCACTACTTAGCTCCAGTTTGTTGAGGAGACATGAAGAGATCTGTGAAAGATAGGCAAATGCATGGTTTAAACAAAGCAAAATAAACCCAAAGAGAAGAGTAACCTGGCAGAGCGCAAGGCTGCAGGGCAGACTCCTGGCATGCACAGCGAAGAGACAGTACAAGGTAACTGCACAGATCAGACACAAGACAGAGCATCACTTAACCAAGCTGGGAGCAGCCATCACTTGATAAGGGTAGCCTTCCTAAATTCAAATTCACCTTCACTTTACACCTTCTGTACACAGATCATGACAAATTCTGACATCTGCAGTACATTAGCCTGATCTGTTTTAGGTTTCCTTAGGCCAGCCTACAGGCATCACAAATCTTGCCACTCTTCTCCCAGAACAAGGGAAACGAGCAGTCAGTAAGTTACTACACAAGAAGCTAGTTTCAGATTCCTCCAAGAAGGCATTCAATCTCTCAAAACACTGCTATACCGGCTCTGAAATGTACATTTATCCAATGTTGTGACTTTTCTCAAATCATTAAAAACAGAAACAGAGTGGAAGCTATAAACACTATATTCAGCGTAAGTTCAAAAGTATTGTTTCTTCTCTAGCACTCTTCCCATCCCGTTGCTCTCAACAGTAGAATCCTGTATCTTTATTGACATTCTTTATATGTAGTATAAAGAATATGTATGTATAGAAGTATATATGAAGTTCCTCAGTGGACCTCTCTCCACCTAAAAAATAGTTACATTACTAATCATGTATGGCCACATTTATGGTATTTGCCATACTGAATCCAGCTCCTTAAAACCTCCCTGTATAGAAGAAGATGGTGGTGTTGAACAAGCCCAGACCTTCCACCCTCATAAAACTGTGCATTTAGGGAAAGGAAGAAAAAGAATAGACCTCTTCGATTTGGCTGCTAACAGAGACGGCATTGCCCATGTGAAGTGAGGTTTCCACTACAGAATGCTGCCCCTTCTAGAAGCCACCAAAGCTTTTTCTACGATAGCCCTATTTCATAACGCTTTCATGCTGTTTCACCAGCCCCCAAAAGCTGCCTTTCTACATAGGGAGAACTGGACAAATACATCCCAAAAGCTCAGTATTAGACCTGCAGTGAATGAAGAAAGATGAGGAAGAAGCTGTAGAGAGAGCAGAAGACAGCAAATGATCGGACAACATCACCATCAGGTCCCACAACTTGCTGGGGTTTTCCAGCACACAGCAGCTGATGGCTGTTCCCAGAATCCAGACTGACTCACTTAGGCAGTACTATCATTAATAAGATTCACTACTGGACTATACGGGCTTAATCCCACAGAATTAACGAAGCTATGTCCATTTATGCAGCTAAACATGCTCTTTCAGTGAACTAGGGACTTGCAGGAATGAAGAAACACAAGTGTGAAAACAAACAATATAGAGATGAGTGCAAGCCTGAGACAAGAGCAGAACAGCCAATGCAGTGCTGAGTCTTACCTTCCTTATGTTTGTTCCCATGTAGCTTTTAGGCTCTTCTTTAAACTGAGGCAACCTGAAATACAAAGAACAAGTGAAAATACATAAGCTTTCCTGGGTTAACAACAAGGGAGAAAACACACAGACTGGTCTTCCCACTCATGGCGCAGATACTACAAAACCAAAATTAAGTTTTCTCCACAAAAAAAAAAGATACTCTTAGTTTCTTTTCCTGCAAAAATCTGCTGAGGGGAAATAATAATAAAAAAAACCAAGTACAGATGAGAGGTGCTTTGCATGTTATTACTACTAACAGCAGTTTTGCTATATTGATTTTCACTGTTACTGGTTCTGTAAGTACAGTTTCTTTTCCTTCAGGTACAGTGTATGTTTTCAGCAGTGGACTAATTAGATTGGTTCAAAACAGGTTTCTCTGATGCTGCTACAAACAGCTGCTGAGCCAAAGTGTCATCCACATCAGGACTCTTGCAGTGTACATGTTATTACTAGTCATGGCAACCCTTTTCGTTAACTTTGTAGAAATCCCAACAGTCATCTTCTATTCTGCATCATATAAACACAATTATGCTGCGCAGTGGATCCAAGTTTAAGCTGAATGCTTTGAGCTAAGCAGTCCTTTGTCTCAAAAGTAAAGGAGGTAGCCTGCTCTTACCTGTGCTACCAAATGACAAATGCACACAGCTCTACAACTCCACACACCCTGCTCTCCCTTCTGTTCATTTACAGTTCTATCTTTGCTTGCTGAAGGGATAAAAGCCTTGCAGCACAGCTTTGGCTGTTTCTTTTTCTGGAAAGCAAGATGGCTAAAACACCCCTGCAGTTGCTGTCTTTGCCTTGTTTCCCTGTCCCAATGTCCACAGGCACAGATGGTGGTGGTGTCTCCTCCTTATCAAGAAGGACAGAGGAGAGGATACAAAATAAGTAAGGAATAAGAACTAAATAAAATTCATATATGCATTTGGAGAAAAAGTAATGTGGCGTCTCCTCTTTGGGGAGATTGATTCTGGTTCTGCCAGTGCTTTGCATTACACAGGGTGCACAGAGGGAAGAAAAAAAAAAAAGGCTGAGATCTCAATGGAACTGAGTGTGACAACTGGAAAAAAAAAATTATGAGCTGTGTTTCACAAGCTGTCAGGTTTACTACAATTCCTTCCGACTAAAAGTATTTCTATATTTGCACATTTCCTTTTTACAATATCCAGAGAAAGTCATGATTACCTCACTATATGGAGAAACAGTTTTGAAGTTAAACAACTTACTTGAGTTTAAAAGAAGTAATCCTAATTACCTGAAGAGTGCTGAAAAGGGCAGAACATTTGTCTAAGACATATGAGCTCAAGAGTTCAAAATTATCTTTGACATGTCAGGTCAAAGCTCTCAGCTTGAAATCAACATGTGGCTATTCAACACCCATCCTCTTTTCTGAAGGGAGCGATATTTTTAGAGCACTTTTTTTTCAGTGAAGTTTGCCTTCTCTGTGCTCAAGCTGGTTCCCTGTCCTAAAGCTCTTCATTACTTGGCTGTCCATCTTTCCTCAAAGGATGCTTAAACCTTCCCCACCTCTGTCTCCCTGCAGTCTGACAAGGCCAGCCCAAGAGAAAAGTGCCAAATCCTTCATCCCCTTCCACCTCTAAATAATGACCATTTTGGATGATTTTTCTGAGGGCCCTTAAGTGGATGTGTGGAATCTTTCTGTCCTTAGAGGGCCATCTCGGCAATGCTGAGGCAAACACAAGCAGGTTTACCTTGTGAAGAGCAGCTGCACCATGTCGACCAGAGTGTGCTCTGCAGATTTTCTCAATAACTCTGCGAAGACAAAAACAAATAACACAGGTGTCATTACTCAGTGTGATATTATCAAGAGGCTTCTTCAAGCAGACTCCCCTCCGAGCCTTGTTTACAGAGATTACGGCAAATTTATTAAAACCAGCTCCAACACCGCATTACTGCAAATGGGCGTATAATCACAAGGTGGCGCCACACAGCTGGGAAAAAAGAACGGTCAAAAGTTCTACCATGAACTCCTAACAAATTTTTCATGAAGTTGTAGAAAGACACAGTAATATAAAGCTCAGCAGCTTTCCACGGCTGTATGTTCCACAACAGAACTAGTTAATTCTGAGGAAACCAAATAATTTCTTAACTGCAGAAGTATGAACAAACCTACCACTGAGCCTCATTTCAAAGCATATGCGGAAACAGGACTGCATGATCTCACACACAGATTCATTGGTGAGGTGGGCTCCAACTGGCGTGAGCAGCAAGGTCCTCAACACCTGCAAAGAACAGTGCACGTATGTCCCATAGTACAATGACAGTTGCATGAATTTCCAAGAGAAGGTTGGCTTCCTCAAGGACTGCCATGAGCAGAAAACCTAAGGGTTTTCCAGGAGTCATTTCAAAACAAATGCTGTGCTCAAGAAACAGACAGATTAGGAGACAAGAATAATCTCCCAACCCACTTCTAAAAGAGGCCTGATATGCTGCACGCTACCCAATATTTAAAATCAGTAACTAGCTATTTGATCAAAAGTACAGAAACTGAAGACGTGTACAGTTCATAGGTCTGGCTCTGCAAAGACTTTTTCTCAAAAATAAGTTTGAGAGCTCCATATGCTTACTCCTCACTAACACATGAACAGTACCACATTATCAAGACCCTAATCTAAAAATCATTTAATTTCAGCTTTTAATTATTTTCATTTGGAAAAGCTTTTACCACAGGTATATGAGCCATCTGTTTAAAAATAAAGTCAGTCACTAAGCTCCCACAGAGTCAAAACATTGCTCCCTCCCCTTCATCTCCATGTAACAGGATATGTTCCACAATGGGCAGCAACCATTATGGTAATTACCATTTCTCTCCACTTACCTGTAGGATTTTCATCAAGACAACCTCATCGCTCGCATGATCTGTGCCAACAAATCGGGCATGAGTAACAGCATCTGCCATGTTCTCCATCCCCTCCGCTGTGCCCTCATGGCTGGGATCTGAGCAACAGAATAAAAATGTATGACAGGCAAAGGCCACCTACAGCCTACCACCTCTGTGGGGAGACATTTACTCAGAGACACTTTGTTGCTATCTGCTTCCTTAATTTGTGTGACTGGGAGTGAGTTGACCCCACAAGAGCGAAACTCACCTCCCAGTAACAGAAAGTTTTTAGAAGTGGAGCTTTCAGAAAGACTTTATCAAGAGTCTATTTACATTTGTGAAAAGATGTAACCTAATAAAGAAAAGAATTAAAGTTCAGTTGGTACTGGCTCTGTATGGTATTGGATGCTATCTTGTAAGACTGCGTCCTGTTCCCTACAATATAGCACAATCAGCTGCTAAATGCATTCAGTTCTTCCTTGGGAATGAAGAGAAAACAGCTCTTAAACATAGGGAACCTCACATTTATTCCCACAAGAAGAAAAAACCCAAATAGGTTACACTATATTGAGAAGGAAAAATTGTTTTGTTCTACATCCCTCCCAAGGAATAGGAGCTGGGGAAAGAATGGACCAGTAGCTTTCCTCAGAGAAAACAGCAGACAGACACAATCACAGTTTAGATATCGGAGTTGCAGGCCTCCCGGTTCAATCATTCATCAAGGCTCCTTCTCTCCATTCCAGCCTTTTGTAGCCACAAACAATGGTGCAGTTGGGAGAACGCTTAGGACGAGACTGTTGCTAGTAACCATATCTTGTGCCACATTACAGTGGCTTCAGAAAAGCTGCCTCCGGCTTTGATTTCATTCTCACTTAAACAATACAGCACTGGGCAAGAATCTTGTTACCTTCCTACCTAAACAGTCATGAGGAAAGAAAGGAGATAACCTAAACATTAGTTAATACCTCATTAATTGGCAATGAGGCCTCTCTCTTGGACTCCAGCAAGAATGAAGCTGACAGAGGAACCAAGCAAAATTTTGTATACTTTGCAGGGAAGTTTTGCAGACTCCCTCTTTGACTCCAGTTGTGTTCACACCTAGGAGGGGCTAAGCCCCAGGCATTAAAGAAAGATGCCCTTATTGTGGTTCAAAGAAAGCAGCCTTCACCATGCTGTGGGGATTCTGAGGGGCTGCAGGACAAAAAACTTCTCATCATTGCACAAAACTGCAATTGCATCAGTGTACTTCAGAATCCCATGAATCTGCGTAGGAACAGCACTTCGCCTTTGCCATCTCTTAACACATCCTTATTAAGAGCAGACCTTGCCTACTTTTGACATAGCGCCCTCTCTCACACACAGGCATAAAAAAAAAATAAATGTGCATAGTTGAGAGTGAGTTCCTCTCCCGGTTTGCTAGTCAAACCTCACGGAGCTATCAAGGAGTCTGTTCCAAGACCAATAGGTCAGTTTTTACCTGCTTCAGCAGCAGCACTCAACAGGATACTAAACTCTGATACTGGGAAGCATTAGATAAGAGGCCTGTCTGTCAAAGGCATTTCTCTGTGTACTTTTGATACTGGCTTACAATCCAGTTAAAAACTCTTCTACCAGAGGCAATAAAATCAGCCATGTTAGTCCCCCATGCACTCCTATTCACAAATGGAAGTAATAGCTTAAAACCACCAATGGTGATGCAGGATCATTCTAAATTGCCTCAACTAAATCAGGCAAAGACCAGTGGTATTACAATGCCAGCATCTACATTAGCATTACTGTTAACCATCTTCAACAACTACAGTGGAAAGTACTAAGCAGGCATCAAGAGGAAAAAGACACTTGCTGCAGAACAGGCTGCTCCAGGCAGAACACAGATTCACTTCACTGTCACCTCCTCCAGTAGATGTGAGTTGCTCTAGGCTTATACTAAATCCATTCTCATACTAAATCCAAAACACAGCACTGTACCAGCTACTAGGAAGAAAACGAACTCTATCCCAGCTGAAAACAGGACAGGGATATATTTAGCCATAGTTATGGATAAACAGTCTGTGTGAAGAGGAGATGCAAGTTGTGCATGTGCTTCTTTAACAGATTTATGACTACTGCTTCACTGTTCTAGCCCCTACCTTCAACACTAATAAACACACCTCTCTCCCAACACACATCACGCCTGACTACTTCAGTCCTGGCTCCCTGGAACAGCTCTACAAATTCAGGTCAATTTATAAAGCCTCTTGAGTTCAATTAAAGGCACAGATACTTCTACTTTGCAGAAACAAGATACAGAAAAGATCAATCCAATGCTTTGTTCCCTTGTGAGAAAACAGAAGCATGTGCCAGTGCCTGCTCAGAATCACTAACAAAAATGAGTTTGTGTGAAGCAAAGTATCAGTTTGAACATTGCCACCTACAATGGAAAGACCTGGAGACCCTTTCTAGATGTACACGTTTCATATGGAGTGCACTCTCACAACATGCAGGCAAAAGAACAAGCAGAAAGCAGAAAATCCAGACTTTCAACCATCAGGGAAACCCAGAAGCCTGCTCAGTAACACGTATAATAGAACTAAAATAAAACACCAAGGAGACAGAGAAGGTAGAGGGGAGAACAAGCTTTGAACTCCCCAAACAGCAAGGCTTCTCACTGGAAGCTGAGCAACAGCTTCTGACTTACAGATACGTAGTTTTCAGGAACACCAAGGAAAATTAATTTCAGAAATGGAGCCGGAAGCTGCTGTGATAATAAAAAGAGCACATATCTTTTCTGAGGAAAATACAAAAAATACAGTTCTGAAATTCAGCCACTGGTCTTCCTATAGCTAAGGTTTGAGCTCACCAAAAAGGCTGGCAGCTGGCTAGCTAGCGCAGAACTGCTGAGTAGAGAAATAATCTGAGGGATAAAAATCAGTAGGCATTTAGTATTGTAGCACAGTTTTCTTATACTTTAAAAATTACTATGTAATTTATCAACTATAACTCTTGAAGCAGTGGTACTTATTTCAGAGCAGAGGATAATCTCTGTAAGACTAACCCTACTAAAACATACGCATGGTGGATATCAATTTTATCTAACTGAGCTGTGATTGTATGCTGTACCATTAGTGAACTGCTGCATTCAATAATCTCAGAACAGATCTCTGCAATTCAGACTACTAAAGATCAGAAGTCTCAAAGGCTACTCAAGAATCATTCTTGTCTAACTGTTTTTAAAACATACCCCTCAGCAATATTGGCCTGAAAAGGAGAGATAACCACCTGCTGACAGGTGACAGAATAAGAAAAACATCTGAGACAGCACAAGGATTAGCAATGAAATGCTTTGGAAATAGGAAAAGAAATAATTTTAAACAAAGATAATTATCAGAGGAGTTTAGCCCTTTCACTGCCCACTGGTTTTCGACCCAGTGTGTACAGCAAAAGCCATCCACTCCCAGAAGAGACACAGCTAATAATGTTTTTGAAAAAAGTGCTGGTTTCACCTGTCAACCATGCAGCCCCAAAATGCACCACAAATACCAGCCACACTGAAACTTTGCCACTGTGGTTATGCTGGAGTGCTTCCTTCCTTGTTCCATACAGTTTGAAGTGGATTTGTGTATTAAAAACAGTTTCAAGCTTTTCCTATCTTGAGGCAAACAGTCTTTAGACTACCTTTAGTCTTATATCATTAAGAGAAATACGTGATCAAAAAGCTTTAATTTAACAATACAACCCTAGCCAGATGTTCAGTCAGCACCACTAATCCCAGGCTCACCGGTATCTGGAGCAGCACACAAAGGACAAGGCTGCTGTGAATGTCACCTGAAGCAACAACAGAGGTCTTAGATTACAGGTTCTGCTCCACAACAAAAGCCAGGCAAAGGGTCTTTTCCACTGTCTATCACCAAGACACACGCTCACCAACAGTTACAGGGGTGTGCCCTTGCCAGAGTGACCTAATTAATATTCTAAATAACAAGTAGCTTGAGAAAGGCTACAAATTCTTAACTACCTTTTTTCCTGTTTCTGCCTCAGATCAAGTATTTGTAGTCAGTTGCCTTTGCAGATATTTGCCTGGACATGAGATACTACCTGATGTTCTGATCCCACCCAGACCATAAAAGCCCAGAAGAAGAGTCCATTCCTCATTCTATGTTGAAACTAACATATTTTGCATTATTGCTTAGTCCTTCAGAGGCAAACATTTTACAGGCTTTCTTTATTGTCCTACGAAGTAGCATCAATAGTGCAACATTTCAGTTATTTTTTGCCACTTAACTACACCCTACACTGCCCTCTAATTAATGTTTCGATACACTAAATTTTCATCAAACTCTTAAAAATTTTTTTCTCTGCAAGTCCCCATTTTTGCTCATTTTAATTTTTGGTCTTTCCCGCAAAAGTGGTCCGCATCTACATCAAGCCCCTTCTTTCTCGAACTTCCCTCATGCTAACTCTAAAGAAGAAAATATTTAAAACAACAGTGCCAAAAATTCAATACTGTTCCCTTCCAATGTAATGGAGGAAAACAACAGAGAAATCTAAACTTGGGACAGGGGGGAGGAAGACAGGTAAAATAATTTTATCCAAGTTAGACTACATATAAACAAACATAGATAAGTGTTGTAATTCACACAGGTATGATCAGAAAGTACTAACAGAACTTACACAGCAAAATCAAGCACCACTAACAACAGGATGACACAGTGAAGGCAGCCAGAAAGCCAGCTAATGAGTTACTCAGGCCAGCTGAGCCATGGGAACTGACCACATGCACATTGTTAGTCTTTCACAAATATAATGGAGAATGCACACATTTGAAAGTCTGGGCAGTGGCAAAACTGTTTCTGCCATGACAGCTGTGACAAGTGAAGAGTACTGGCACACCACTGGATAGGGTCTGGGACCGGGCAAAAAAACATACTCACTCTAGAGCAGAAATGTTAGTCCACAAAACTAAATAAATTCTACTGTGTTTCTGTATATTACAACATTGTAATCCAAGCTGGTATCTCCCCTCCCTGGCCCTTTTGCTCAGGTTGCATTAAAAAGCAGCTGGCAACCACCACAGTCTAGCTGTGGCCACAAGCACACATAGCAGCCAGGGCAGACTGGAAGCTTTGGCTCCATTTCCAGCCATGAAAGACCAGCAGGTATGATATTAAGAAACTGCAGATGCCTATTTCCCCAGCATTAATGACAATTTTCTTATTTTCCCTATCTCCTCATTAAGAGTGCAAGCACATATCCTGGCCAAAGACACGTCTCAAGGAGATGCATTTGGTTGACATTTTGGTAAATCCCAGGAAGCCACATAACATACCTATTAGTGCATACGAGAGGAACTTATTCACAGAGGTGAGGGCCAATCCAGTTATGGGGCCTGTAGTGTCTTCAGAACGGATTACCTCCAGGAAAGGCCGAAGAAAGACGTTGGGTTCAATTTCAGATAGCTCTGTTAAAATATTTTTAAACAGACATTAAATTAGACTTGATTCATTAGGATTAATTTTCTCTTTAAGAATCTACAGCAAGCTTAATCTCAGAGGAAAAAGGCCTGCAATAGCTTAGTTTCGGAAGGCTGGTGGGAAGGTCGGGGTTGCTTTTAAATATATATGTATTTACACACACCCACTCACGTATATGTATATGTTTTTAAAAGCAATGGTTTGTGAAATTCACTTTCTTAGGATCTTCAAAACAGCCTTCTGGAGCCTTCTAAAACAAATCCTATTGCAAGAAACAATAGTAACAGCAACTCTGTAACACCACAGAACCACTGCTGCCCAAATTCATGCTTTAATTAACTGGCAGATATGGTTGCACTTTCCTAGTACTCCTGGAATTGTGTGATCACATGAACTATGAAGACCCTTCCCCACCTTCTGCCACTTCTGTAACATCCTACCACACGTACAGCCTCATGCCAATTACATGTATAGTACAAATGTACAACCAGGTTAGTTGGATCTCTTGCAGCAAGTTGCCTGAATACGAATTGCATTTCTGCAACACTGGAGGTTTGCTTGGCAAAGACAGAAAAAACCCACAGGATAAACAAATTTAAAAACTCTTCGGTCTTGTTCTCAGGATACTTGTATAAGCCTTTCAACCAAAGAAGAAAAAAGGGCACTCTTCTCTACTTGCTGCTTTGGACAAGCATCCCCTCTAAAGCTGCAATACAAGAAGGCAGATACACTCGACTGTTGAGCTGGAGAAAGAAAAACTAATAAGCTTCCTAAACTTTTCAAGATGATCAATGGAAGCTTTGGGAATGAAAAAGAAATACAGAAAAGAAAAGCCAGAACCAGGGAAAGTGACACACACACCTCCAAATAAAACAAAACCGTAAACCAAACGAACAAAAAACCCAGTACCAGGAATCAAGCTAAGAGGAGTCCTGAGGAGGATTGAGGAGAAAAAAAAACATTAAAAAGCAGGTGAAGGCTACCACAATACAGCCAGTACACAGGCAAAGATGAGTGTACTAAAAGTAACTTGGATAATCCTGAGACCAGAAATATTTAAATACAAACACTTGGCTCAACTTGCTGAAACCTACATTTTATTCCTAATAAAAGTTAACAAGAATGGCTAATAGCATCACAGGAACACTGGCATTTATATTCTTGATGATCCAATACTGCACTTATCTGTAATATGAGCTGCTTTGAGGTGGGGGAGAAAAAAAGCCTGTAATTCCTGTATCCTTAGACAAGCTGCTACTTTTCTATCTACCAACATAACTCAACTACTTTGCTTTTAAAAAAAATTTAAAAAAAAAAAAATCTAAGCCCTCCTGATTCTAAGATTACTCAAATTCCATTTTATCATAGCTCCCAGGGAAAAGTCTTAAATATCAAAGTAAAAAGCCTATCAGAAAGCATGTTAACATAACTGTAACAAATTACGGTGAGGAAGCAAAGGAGGAACCTTAATGCAGGCTTTTTTGTTTTAAATAGTTAAGACCACGGAGAACAACATCAAAGTGAAATAGTTTTGCTGTTAACTAAGGCAAAACTACAATTAAAAGAAAGGAACTTTGGAAATCTTTACGCAGTCTCTTACTTTTCAGCCACTAGTTCAAATCAGGCCAACACCACTAACTTGTGAGAGGTTAAAAGGAACGTGATGATTCAATCTTTTTGGCTTAAGAACAACTCCCCCAATTTGTCAGATAATATCCTGGTGTGACATTACAATTGTGTCACCTCTCAATAGCTCATGGAAAGGCAGAGGATAAGACATGCTTTCATCAATGTTATTTAAGTGTGCTTTATAGAACATTTGTCTGGTTACAAGCACTTGGACAACATTAAATATAGTAAGACTACTAGGGATCAACATTCAAACTCTTCTTCCCCAAAACTAATCCTTTCTATAGAACAGTCAGCACCATCACAACCCTATCAATTCCTCCAGCCTCCTTCAATTGAGTGAGGCCCAGGATGGAAAAACTGCACCATGATTAGTATGAAAAGTGGGACTTCAGCAGATGTACATAGCTGCACAGGTGGAATAAGACAATGAAGCCAGACTTGCAAGCAGAGGATACGTAGGTTACCACACTCTCCACTAATCCATTTGCGGGACAATAAACATGTTTTCTTTACAAAAGCGGGGGAAATTTTGGCTTTTTTCTTTCAATTAAAGTTGTGACTCTTGATGTGGTTAAAGATTAGATTCCCCTGCAGGGAATCTAACTGAAAGTCTAACTGAAATTCCCAACTCACATGAAGATCATAAAATGGCTTGTCATAATTAGGATTTAACTTAGGCACATACTGTTGATTACACAGCAACTCTGGCCAGCTTCCCTGACATTCAGAGACTCTAGCTTTTATGGTAACACAGCATTTTACATTAATCTCTCTGAAACTAACTGTGTACTCTGTAAAACTGTTTCGGACAGGACAGTTGGTGCTGTATTATTGAAAAAAATATTAAAAATATACCAAACAAGAAGATAGTATCTTTAGTGCAAGACTTACCCACTAAAGAACTACTGTCTAAAGATCTAAATTTCAGTGAAACACCAATGACACCGCAAATTGTTAACATTTGAGGAGTATTCACTTGATTACTACAATGAGCTCTTCCCTACCATTGCAGCCATTGAGGACTTACAGGAGTCACCATCTCCCTTTTCAAAGCCAAACTCAATTTTGGTGGGTGTGCTTGCTTCAATAGGAAGATAGGGAGCACAGAAAAGCACTCATACTGTAGCTATTCTTGCTATATACTGTCTTGAAGCAGATTACTCTCCCTGGCTGAAGTATCAGTTCAGCATCTGAAAGTGGCACTAAAGCTACTTGGAAGTTTTTAACTAAGTAAAAATTTTGCAAACAAGTCAGTAAAAGATCAACCTTTTCCTTTTAACTCAATCCTGTTGAGCTCAGCAAAGTTAGTTCAGACGATCTCTCCCCGGTTTTCACAGCCTTATACACTGAATGTGGCAGTGTCCAGAACCAACCTGCCAGCCCTTTCAGACCAGTAACTACAACTAGCTTTTACTACCAGAGCTCAAGTTTAATCTAGAGCACAGAACAGTAGGGACTGAATAATGCTCTTTTCACAATACTTTGGTATGGTAAGAACATAGTCTTTAAAGGGAATTGTTCTGCCCAGGAAGTTAAAACTTCACAGCAGACACGCTACATAAAGTCTGTTTTGGCACCTAACTGGAAAAGCAATGCTATGTTCTCCTGAAAATACCCAAGAACGGGCAGCAAAATCAATTATAACTTTAGTAATTCCTTTGCCAAAACAAAGGCTATATAAAGTAAGTATTGAATGTTTGGAAGTATATACTTGAACTTTCATAAAAGCTTTCCAAAAAAAGCAGCTCTGATTTTTCAAGTCTCTGGTTCTTGCTCTGCCAGATTCAGTTCCAGCATTACAAGTGAGGAAACCATAACCAGGGAAAGACTTGAGAATTGCGGAGAGAGATATTTCTCCAAGTGTATTTCCTAGAAAGAGACATTTCTCAGTGTTTGAACTAGAAAACACAGGATGGTTTTCCACTTAGGTAACTACTTCCAGCTCTGGGGAAAAAAACGAAACAAACAAAAAACCCACCTCAAAACCCACCAGCCCTGCAAGCTTGACCTCAGCCTAGGGTATTACAAGAGTTAGAACTGAACAAGTGTCCACATGGAGATCAAAGTTTCACTAAGGATTCCTACAAGTATCTTTCCTTTTCCATCTACTCAAGACTAGGGAAAATTATATTAAAACATGATATAGTCTTACATGAAGAGCTTGGGCTGCTTTGGGGACCAGCTGGAAAGCACTTCGCACTCTTTTCACAGAAGTCCCTTCAATGAAATTAAAGGGAAGCAGAGACCAGCACCAGCACTACACCCAAAAATGCTCAGCTAGCCCAAAGCATGGAGAGCATGGAGAGCGAGAAAAAGGGAAAGAATATTTTAGACAGTGTATCAGAAAGCCAACTCGTCGGGCTTGCAATTTTAATATGAGGACAGAATTCCTCTGAGACCACAGTACTTCGCTTCATTCACCCTATGGATTATTTGCACATAGACAGACATGTCTATAAAGACATTTAAACAACTAATTCATGTTTAAGCACCTAACTCCCATTTCAGCAATCCCATCCAGCTGTTCTGGCACTTCAGCAAACAAGGTGCATCAGACCTCTGGCATCCCCTTTCTCCTGAAGTACAGGAGCAGTTCCCCTTCGGAAGAGGTTTCTTATTGTTAGCACACTGTTGGCACATTCCTGATCTAAAACGCTCACATAAGCTGCTTTCTCTGGCAGTTCAACTCTTCACTCCTGAATGACTCTTATCAGGATCGGCTATGCGTTCCGAATCAGAGTAAATGAACAAGAAAAAATTGTTTATGACAAGTTATTTCAACATCATTTGTCCCCAGGACAGGCAACTGCAACCCAAACCACATGACCTGGACTCCTCTTATGCAGCAGCTGTTGGCCTTTGACGCCCAGCCTTCAGAAAGGCTGTCTCAGTTGTATCCCACGCACCCCTCCAAGGCAGACGAGCTCAGACAAGAGCAATGCTTCAAGCATGTGCTATTACGCTCCTTGCTTATGTACTGAACTGTACCTTAAACAGGCATTCTCTTTTCTTCTGAAGGTGAGAAAAAGACAAAGGTAACACTGCAACAGAGCAGAAATCCAGCTCTTCAGGATTCCTGCCCAGGAGCTGAATGAGTTTAGGCCACAGAAAATCGAAGTACCAGCAAGCGCTTCCTGGCTCACTCTCAAAAACACTTTCTGAAAACGCTGCCTTTCTGGCCAATGTGACTTTCTTCTCAGTTCACCCACCAAACACCAAAACATTTTGTCCTTTCACCCAAGGGTGAGAAGTCCCTAGGCTTTCTCTCAGAAAGCTAGAAGAAAAGTTACAAAGAAAAAGGACAAAATTGTACTTGCCTTTTACAACTGTCAAAGTATTGGGTAGCCATACTCTCCAGATTT